TGAGCATAATCATACCCAGATGGTAATTTCTCAGTAACTGACCCATGTTCTCCTGGGAGAGAACCGATAGAATCTTGGATTCATCATACAACTGAATTAGTGAGAATAACAAATACCACAAAGTAGTCACATTATTTGAAATTCTCGCTGCATATTTTTCAATGGGCTGGAACTAATTACTCATATTTTAAATAGCTGTAATTTTGAAGGGTGTAAATTTGAACACAGGTGACCACTTCATAGGATTCATTATTCACACTAAGTGGGAACTGGCTATACTGCATTGGCAAGGGAATAATGTAGAAAAATGGGGCCCACAGCTGAGAAGCCTTAAAGGACCAGCTTTTGGACTGGTAAGTTATTTAAGTATGAAAATCCTGAATCACATGGTAGGGATTCTGTCAAAGACCAGAGAAGCAATTTGCTGGTGGCAAGGAAGTTCAGCAAGTGTATACCATTTCTCGAAATTACCTTTAGACATAAAAGGGTGAAACTCTCTTATCTTGTGATGCATAGTGCTAGTCTCTTAAAGAAGTTGATAGAGTATATAAGACCCAAAGATGCATATGAGATTAGACTAAAACAAGCAAATGAAGAGCGTCCTTTAGGATAAGGAGCTTAGTAAGCCGCTGATGCTGAATTAGAGTAGAAATCATTGGATAGTTATAGAGTAAGATATTTGGTAATGTCATCTAACTTATGGTTAGAAATCCATTTTTATTCCTTTTTTTTTTGGCTAGGAAATGGGGTTAAGTGACTTACCCAGGGTCACACAGCTAGTGAGTATCATGTGTCTGAGGCTGGATTTGAATTCAAGTCCTCCTAACTCCAGGACCAGTACTGGCCTGGTACCGGCCCTGAAGTCAGGAAGACCTGAGTTCAAATCTGGCCTTAGACCAAACACTTGTGACTTACTAGCTGTGTGACCTTGGGCAAGTCACTTAACCCCAATTGCCTTAAAAAAGGGGGGAAAAAAAGAAAATTATAAAAAAAAAAAAAGACATCACATCCTCTGGCTGATAGTAAACCTCTTTAGGTCTCTATTTCCTCAAAGTGAAAAGAAATTGAAAAATCAGTGTATTTTAACCTCATCCCAGCAGCCCCTCTGTTCTATACAAAATAGCAAATTCAGGGCTGGCTAGAGAATTCTAAAAGACTTTTATGCAAATAGCAGCTTCTGTGATGGCTGCAGAATTATGAGAGACACTGTGACCTTTCTCATACTTTCCTCAGCAACATGTCACACTCTTGTTTTCCTTTTCTGACCTTTATTCTGCCCCTAACCACCAATAAAAAATAAAATAAAATAATTACAGCCTTAGTGAAGTAAATAAGGTATACAAACATTTGTGATGTACATCATTAACATGAAAAACATCAAAATTGAGATCTAATACGACTATGTGTAAATAGTCATATTATAATACTATGTAGCAAATGTGAACACCTATGATTGGCATAGGGAGCTCCCAGGGAAGAAACGCCTGTTGCTGCAAGATAGTCTTTTCCACTGACTTGCCCATGGTCACAGGGGTATATGTCAGAGGGACGATTGAATTAAGAGATCCAGGGGAGGCTGCAGAGGACAAGGCAATTCACAAAAGAGTCCAAAAAAAGAGGTTAAAGGGCAGAGGTAATCTCAGCCTGAACTTCAGTACATTCAAGTCTGAGAAGACAACTTTGTAGACAGTGGTTGAGAAAATTGGTTAAAGATAGCTGTAGCTATTTCTGCAGAGGAAAAGTTTATTAATCATAACACCTCCATTCATTCATTCCTTTGGTCAGCCAGTCAGTCAACAAACATTTACGATAGCGGTCCTTGCTATGTCCCAGGCACTAGACTCACGACCTATGGTTTGCAGAGGATTTTGTCCTATAACTCCACGTTCAAGCACCTACCTCACAGTGTTGTTAGATTCAAATGAGATACATAAAATGCTTTGTCAATCTTAACCCCTCTATTAATGTCAGTTACTATTATTATCATAAACTCCCTACTTCCCCTATCACCAAGGTAAAGAGGTCAAGACTGTACCTCCCATCTTCCACCCCCACACACCTGCTCTCAGGCTGCCCTTTTATGATTTCTTTTCCCCTTTCAGTTGCCCTGGAATGTCACAGTAAACTGATCTCACCTGTATTAATGTTGCCACCACCCTTACCCTCCAGAGCCTCTCCAAACATCCTAAACAGGGCCCCGGCCATAGCTACTGATTAAACACAACTTCCACCCCTTCTGTCTAGTGAAAGTAGTGGGAAGAATTAGTCTGGTTGCTATGTTTGTATGAATATCTTATTTCCCTAGCTCAGCCATAAGCTTCTAGGAAATGGAAATTGTATCTGTTAGAGGATCCTGGATCTCGAGCTGGAAGGGACCTTTGAGGTCACCTAGCCCAGCCTTCTTGTTTTACAGATGAGGAAACTGAGGCCCAAGGAGATTCAATGACTCACCCAAGGTCACAGAGGCTGTAAGCATTTAAGGTAGGATATGAACTGGGCCCTGTGATTCCAGATAACATACCATATCATTTCCTCAAAGATAGATCTTTGAATTTCCCACTTGTCTCAGAAGCACTCAGCATAAGTGTTAAGAATCCATGTATGTTCCACACTACCCCTTTTTTTTTTCCCACTTACATCTGCCAAATAGGGTCAGACAGTAATAAAAGAAGGTGATCCAACTGAATAATCCAACAGAAATTTATTTTAAATCTGCAAAGTCTAAGTAAAGCACTGTGCTAGGTGCAGGGGGAGAATGGTTTATTTATTTATTTATTTATTTGTTTATTGCTCTTGAGGACCACACAGTCTAACGGGAAGGGATGAACTGTATAGAAAAAAGCATGATTCACGATGCTCCAAGAAAATCTGAGGAGGGAGAAATCACTTTTAAGTTGGGTGGAGTAGTGGTGAGGAGAGAATAGATCTCAGGAGGCTTTGTGGAGGAGATTGGTACCTGGGTTAGGCCTAGAACATAGGGAAAGATTTCAACAGGCAGAGATGCGATCCAGGCCTGGGGGACACCCTATACCAGTGGTGGGGAGCCTGCAGCCTTGAGACCGCATGTGGCCCTTTAGGTCCTCCAGAGCGGCCCTTTGACTTCATCTTGTTCTGTGAAGTTTGGACTCAGTCAAAGGGCCACATGCGGCCTCGAGGCCTGAAGTTCCCCACCCCTGCACAAATAGGGCCGAGCCAGCCATTAGCAGGGTAAGATCAGCAACAGTTGTGTGTGGAAAGAGGTATGAAAGAGAGTCTGGAAAGAAAAAAAAAAAAGGAGGATCAGTCAGTCAGTCAGATAGCATTTATTCAGTGCCTACTATGCGCTTGGCACTGAGCTAAGTGCTGGGGATGCAAAGAAAGGCAAAAGACAACCCCTGCTCTCAAGGAGCTCACAGTCTAATGAGAGAGACAACATGCAAACAACTATATGCAAATAAGAGAGATACTTGAATGCTAGGCTTAGCTTGCATAGGCAACACGGAGCCATCGAAGGTTTTGGAGCAAAAGAGCAATATAGTCAGACCTCTGAATTAAGGAGATGATTGAGGCAGCTGTCTGGAGCCTAGATTAGAGAAGCATTGGATAGAGGTAGGGTAAGGAGACCAGTCAGGAGACCACTGCAATAATCCAAGCAAAAGATAAGGACAACCTAAACCTTGATGGCATCCACCCAACTGGAGAGGAGATGGAGGGACTTCGTTCACAAAGAATGGGCAGATTCAGCTGTATTACTGGGGCAATAATTCACAGGAAAGGAGCGGAGTCTTTACGGTGGATGTTGGAAGGGGTGGCGGTAGTGAGAGCTAGGGAGGCTTCTTGAAGAGGCCAGCTATGAAAATGACAGTGGGGAGGAGGAGGAAGGGATGCTCATCCTCTCCTCTTCCTCTTCCATCATCCCAGCCAGCTCTGCCACCTTAACCTCAGTTTGGATTGGCCCTTCAGGCTAAGGTCTCCCCAGCAGCAGCAAGTCCAGGGAAAGGAGAAAGAAGAGAGAGAGGGATGGGAAATTCTTGTGGCCATTCATCTGGGTAAATCGTCCCAGGGTGGCTAGTCTCTAGCATGTAAAAGACTAAACTTCTTATATTCTTATTTATCAAAAATTAACACCAGTGATACCACATATCCTGAGATGCAATCCCAGGCTACAATTTCAGCATAATGTACAAGCAAGAGCCAAAAAGGAAGAAGTTATGAAATATTGAGAGTATTGATCAATATCATAAATATAGAACTAGAAAGAAACTTTATCATCTTATCTAATTTTGATAAGGGGAAAATATTACTCTCTACTTCACTATACTACCCTTATGAGGAAACAAATATGTGTGTATATATGTGTGTGTGTGTGTGTGTGTATACATATAAAATACCTTTTCAGAAATTATGAAACTTTTGGACTATAAAATGTCAAGAAAACAAAGATTTTAGGGTACTTCGCCCTGCTCCCTCCCCCATATCACACACCTGCAACAAAAACCACTATAATTTCTGCTCATGATTAATGATGAGTTATTGAATCCCAAGTATGCCTGGCCTTTTGAAGCTGTCCTTCAACCTAAGCATAGTTTCAAACTCTCATGTTTGAAAGTTTACCTGACCTGGAGTTTGAACATTATTGCTTTTATTTTTTAAACAATATTTCATTCCCCCCCCCCGCCAATTACATGTAAAAACAATTTTAACATTCTTTTTTCTAAGTTTTGAGTTCCAAATTCTATCCCTCCCTCTCTTCCCTCCCCCCCCCGAGATGGTAAGTAATCCATTAAAGGTTATGCGTGTACAATCATGAAAACATTTTCGTATTTGTCATTTTGTACAAGAAGACTTAAGAAAGAAGGAGAAAGAAAGGAAGGAAGGAAGGAAGTGAAAAATAGTATGCTTCAATCTGTATTCAGACAACATCAGTTCTTTCTGTGGAGGTGGATAGCATTTTTTATCATGAGTCCTTTGGGATTGTCTTGGATCATTGTATTGCTGAGAATAGCCATAAACCTCTTCTATTATTTATATACATTTAAAACAGGATAGATCTCAACAATGTAATACAGTGCATGACCCTTTTTCCTAGGATTGCAGAATGTGAAAGCTGGAAGGGGTCTTTAGTCTTTTAGTCCAGCCCTCTTATTCTACTTATAAAGGAGATGAGGTCCAGAGATGGTAGATGACTTGTCCTAGGTCACCCAGATAGTTGGAGTCCCAGTGAGAGTTAGTTTCCTGTTTTCTACACCAGTATTTTTTCTACTATCTTGGAAAATATAACTGTCTTCCCAACTAGATTGGGGAGGTCTGAGACAAGTTTTGTTTGTTTGTTTGTTTTAATCTCCCACAGTGCCTTCTCATGAAACAACTCACCGCTCATACAGAGCTGGCCTGGCAGAGCGTTCCCTTGATCTGGGCAACGGCCATGGTCTCTGTTTGCCCAAGGCTCCCAGAGAACTTAGACCTCTTGCTCCTGAGTTTAGACAAACAGAAATCACTCTTCTGGTGGCTCTGGAGATATTCCTTGTAGTTATTAGAGAGCAGAGTATAGAGGAAGGGGTTGATACAGCTGTTTCCGTAGGCCAGACAAGTGACAACGAAGTTGATATAGACTTCAGTGTTGCCAGCACTACTCCCTGGCTGCTGGTCATAGATGCTCAATAGTTGCCAAAGCCAGAAGGGGATGAAGCAAATCCAATAGGTGAGGACGATGCTGAAGATCATGTAAAGGACCTTTTCCCGGGGGCACCTCTTGGTTCTCTCAGCAGTAAAGACAACAGTTGTCTGGGACTGCCAGTAGGTCCTGGCCAGCCTGCCATACAGGTAGCAGATGGCTAGTCCAGGGGCCAGGATGCAGGTGTGGAAGAGGATGGTGAGATAGACCTTATAGGCCCCCAGCTGCCAAGTTGGGTGACACATGTGCTTGGTCACCCCATCTCGATGGCTTGTGCGAAGGTCTATGAGGATCATGGTGGGCAGGGCCAGGAGGAAGGACACCAGCCATACGATGCCAGTGACCATTCTTCTGTAGTTCCTAGATCGGCTGATGGTGTCCAAGGGTTTTACCACAGCCAAGTATCTCTCAGTGCTCATGACAGTGAGGATGAAGATACTGGCATGCATAGTAAGGAAGTCCAGACTGAACAGGGTCCTACAGCCAATGTCCCCAAAGTACCAATCCCTGGCAAAATAGGTGCAGACCACAAAGGGTATAGTGGACAGATACAGGAGGTCTGCCAGGGCCAGGTTAAGGATATAAATGTACATGGAGCCTCCTAGCTTCATGGAGGAATTTATGACCACCAAGGTGTAGATATTGCCTATAGTGCCCACCAGACACATCAAGGCCAGGACACATCCCAGGAAGAAAGTAATAAAGATGCCATTGCTGTCCCCTGGTCCTTCAAAGGTGTCATTGGAGGTGACATTTAGGAAATGTCCCAGCTCCATGTCACAGTATCACGCCAGAATCATGGACAACAGGAGAGCAGGGTCAGGATTAGGCGAGCCTGCTGCAGGTGAAGGGAGGTGCACAGGACCAGAGATTAGGGCTGGTGGCAGATCAGAATCTAGGAAGTTAAGATGGTGATCAAGAGGCATGCAGGCAGCCCAGGCCAGGCCAAGTCAGGAATCCACAAGAGACAGAAGACAAGTCACCACACCTCAAGGGTGTCCTGAGATGAATCTGACACCAAGGCCAAAGTCTGTTTTTCATCCAAAGACTTCTTATTTACTTTCTGTTAGGAACCAGTCCCAGGGTGGAGGCAGCCCTGAGCCTGCCCATAGAACAAAGGGACTAAGTGGTTAGAAGGAGATATACCTGCAGCAGCTTCCCTTCTAATGGTGTGGGAATTGTCAGGCTCCAGTTGTGAAAGTGCAGAGGGTAGTCAGACCTGGGTGTTGTGGGCACAGCAGAGATGAGCTCACCCACTAAGCTTCTCAACTCCACCAGAAAGCATTCAGAGTTTCCAAAAGGCATGTGGCAGCTCTCACCCCACCATGGCTGCTCTGGGTGGGCTTTGGCAACCAAATCCCCATTTAAGGCAGAAAAGAAGGAAATCAATCAGCTCTTACCATGAAATTAGGTGGCGAGAGGCTCCCACAGGAAACTGGCCAGAGAAGGCTGCCTGGGAGGAGCTGGGATGGGGTCAGGGCTCAGGGTAGAAGTTGGAAGGCAGAGAGCTAGCAGGCTTTTCTTCCCCAAAGCAAGCAGATTCCCGACAGACAGCTCATCTCAGTTCCTCTGTAGCCTGCTTTGTGCAAGGGATCAGTTCTAACTCCATGGATTGAAGAGTCCTTGGCAGGTGACTAGGATCCCGAAAAACTACAAAAACCCTATGATGTCAGGGATGGGCTGTGGGTGAAGAAAAGCAGAGTACCCTCAGCACTCTGGCCAGTCACAAGCTACATTCCCCATTTTATCACCCATTGAAGAGATTTCAGAGCCCAGTGCCTTAGAAGAGTCTTCTCCAGGACTGGGCAAATAAGCTGCTTCTCTCCACCCAGATGGGAGGGGAATTTCAAATTGCCAGCAAAGGCGGCAAACCTTGGGATGAAGCGAGCAGCATTAATCCAAGGAAGGCTGGTTTCTCAGTAAGCTAAGTGAGAGGCATTGCCAAGAGCAGCCAGAGGCAGCTAGCTCACTCCGTAGAGACATAGTAATCACTTGCTGGTGGCTAGCAGATAGCCAGTAACTGACGGGGGCTGCTTTTTCAAGCCTAGAGAGTGAATCTCCTCATTTCTCTGGGGAGGGGAGGGGAAAGATAGACATCAATTCCTCTGGCAGTTCATTGTTCCTCTAGGACTAACACACACACACACACACACACACACACACACACACACACACACACACACACACACACACACACGCTGATCTAAGAGCTACTCACACTCTCAGACCTGCTGTTAGGACTTAGAGGAGAGATATCATTGGCTACGCGGTACTAGCTCCTTGTCCCTGGGTGACTGGGACCTGTAACACCTGGCCAGACAAACTTCTGGCTGCAGCTGGAGCCTAAAGTGTGATTTTTTTAAAAAAGTGATCCCTGATCAGCCCCTCTGCTTTGAGGCTGTATATTTTGACTTCATTCCCTGTTCTTCTTGGCTACCTCTGGAGGACAATTGAAATAACATCTGGATGGGGCTGAGGTATGCATGGAGATTCAGGGCAAATGTAACTAGTTCCCTCCTCTGGAAAATCACTCCATCCCTGTTTCTCCTACCCCTCCCGCCTTTTAGGAGGCTGATGAAAAATCAGAAAGGCAGCAGAAAGATTGGTCTTCCAAGCTGCAGAGGAGGCTGGAGGATAGGGATGATATAAACAGTGGAATGAGTAACTGGAACATGTCACTGTGCCCCAGCCTGGCATGTTACCAGCAAGAACATTAGCATCTGATTCTCCCTGAGGTGGTCTGATGGTAACACTGCTCATAATACGAAAACCTGGGACTCTTCTTAATATTCAAAGTGCTTGGAAATCTCCAAACCAGAACCATAGGATTAGAGATTTAGCATTGGAAGGGACACCCTCATCATATAGATTGGGAAATAGAAGCAGCAGAGGTGTGCTGCCCAATGTCCCGCTAGTAGTAAATAGCAGAGGCTAGGTTCTCTGACTTCAAATTCAGCAGACCCTCCACCATATCATCCTGCCTTCTCTTATGAAAGGTATTTTTGTGGAGCAGGTGGTGCAGTAGCTAGAACACCGGCCCTGGAGTTGGGAGGATCTCAATTCAAATCCAGCATCAGATACTAGTAGTGTGACCCTGGGCAAGTTACTTAATCCCAGTTGCCCCCCCCAAAAAAAAAAATCCCGATTTTTGCAAGAGTAAGGTAGAAAGTTTTCTCTAAGTAATTGCAGAAAGTTGTAGCTGTGCTATGTCCCTAGGGTTATACTTAGCCTGGAGGTAAAACAGGGAATGTTTCTGAATGAGACCTGAGTTCTAGGATCCATGGACTCACATTCCCATCCCCTGGGTTCTTTTCCCATTCTATTTATCTTAGGAGATGGGTCCCAAGTAGATGCAACCTCAGGGACAGAAAGTGCCAATTTTTCTTCTGATCTCCTTATTTTCACAGACAGCACTTGCCTCTTACAGATGGGGAAAATTGAGCTTACAGGGAAATGCCTCGCAGCCAGTCAATGGCCTATCTAATTAAGAACTGATCTATCCAAATTTCCTCAGGCCTGCCTGCCCATTCCATTCCTTTGATCTTGTGGCTTCAGTCTAATGAGTAGAACCGCAGGTGGAAACAATACAAAGCAAGGAGAAGAGACTTTAGGAAAAGAGACCTAGAAAGTCCTGGCTAGTTATCTCTTGGCAAATAAGAATGTGTGCTTGAGGCTGAATCCACAGGGAAGAATTGGAGTGGTTACTTGATAGGCTAATTCTCAGTTTTGTCTCCATTCTTCTCCCTAGAACAGTAGCTGCATGAGTCACTCTATAGGAAGTACTCCAGGATTTTTCCTTGAAAGATGTCACATTCCTTCCGATAAAGGACAGCGTTCAATCAAATACTGATCAGGGTCCTTTCAGGGTTATTCCTTGCCATGAGGTTACTGGCACCTAATCCAAATCCCTGTCTTGAATCTCCTTGCCTGGATTAGGGAACAGCCCAATTCTTGCCCTGGCCCCTGTACTCTGTTCCCCACTTCACCCCATGTGGCATCTGGCTGAATGTGTTAGTCAGTTAGTCAAGAAGCATTTATTAAGTAAGAGACACTGGGCTGAGGGCAGAGAAAACAAAGAAAGGCAAAAATGCAATTCCAGTCATCGAAGAACTCACATTCTAATGGGTCTTCTTCATTAAACCTGGATTCTTCTTAGCTCGACAAACGTTAACAATTCACATTTCTATTATTTCTATAGAACCTTAGGGTTTACAAAAATGCTTTCCTGTGGAGTGGATAGTAAAAGTATGTATTCTTGTCCCCATTTTATAAGTGGGATGATTGAGCGTTAGAAAAGTTAAGTGATTTACACAGAGATAGTAACAGGGGCAGCTGGGTGGCACAGTGGATAGACCACTGGCCCTGGAGTCAGGAGGAGCTGAGTTCAAATCTGTGTGACTGTGAGCACTTAATTCCAATTGCCTTAAAAAAATAGTAATGGTCAAGACTGGGATTTGAATTTAGATCCCCAAATCCAGCAAAATGAAGTTTAAAAATTTTTCTAAACAGATACCTTTCTGTTTGAATATAAATTGATACTCAGAAAAGCTGCTTGTTTCAAAACTGAAATATCATCTTATTTTTAGGCAGACCTTTTACTTTTACTTTGTGATGTAAGGCAATTACTAAAATCAGGTTGGTGAATTCATTTTAAATGTAATTTTGATCTTAGAGCATGATCTGCATAATTTTATGTCATAAAAGGACTTTTTAAGCATTCAGCTAATAATTCAACAATTAGTAAATTCTTAGTACAAGGTACTAGGCTAGGAGCTGGAATAATGAAGAAAAAACAAAAGCAGTTCTTTCTGTTCTTATCCCTAAAGAGAAATGAGAATGATGCAAGAAAATCATGAAAAACTACAGTTTGCTAAAGGAGACCCAAAAAATACTGAAGAAAATAACACCTTAAAAAGTAGCCTAACCTAAATGGCAAAAGAGGTCCAAAAAACCAATGAAGAGAAGAATGCCTTACAAAGCAGAATTGGCCAAATGGAAAAAGAAGTCCAAAAGCTCACTGAAGAAAACACTTCCTTAAAAATTAGAATGGAGCGATTGGAAGCTAGTGACTTTATGAGAAATCAAGACATTGTAAAACAAAACCAAAAGAATGAAAAAAAAAAATAGAAGACAATGTTCTTATCCCTAAAAAGCTTGTATTTTACCCAGAGATTCTACTAGTAGGCATATACCCCAAAGAGGTAGATTAAAAAGAAAATCCCATATACACCAAGGTATTTATAGCAACACTTTTTGTGGTAGGAAATTAAGGAGATGTCTATTGATTAAGGAATGGCTAGATAAATTGTGATATATAAGTGCATTAGAATATTACATGATGGTGTAATGATGAATATAGAGAAGCATGGAAAGACTTATGTGAACTGATGCAGAATGAAGTAAGTAGAGCCATGAAAACAATATATATGATGGGTACAACAATGTAAATGGGAAAAACAACAACTGCAAAAACAACAAAAATGAATGCTGCAAAAATACAAAAAACAACTCGGCCCAAAAGAAGAGCTATGTATGAGAAGATATATTTTGCAGAGGTGTGAGGTCTCCATTGGTGAAATATCGCATATATTTTCAGATTTTTTCCCATCAACTAATCAGTTTTTTTGACTGCTTTTTTCTCCTCATCCTCTTTATTATTTAAAAAATATATTCTTTGCTATATGGAATTGGGAAGAGGAAGGATAGAGGGAAAATAGGTGATAACAAAAGATATCAATAAATTTTTTTTTGGGGGGGGCTAGGCAGTGGGGTTAAGTGACTTGCCCAGGGTCACACAGCTAGTGTTATGTGTCTGAGGCCAGATTTGAACATAGGACCTCCTAAATCTAGGGCCGGTGCTCTATCCACTGTTCCACCTAGCTACCCCAATAATTTTTTTTAAAGAGCTTACATTTCGCTAGACAGATACATCTACCCAGTTAAGAAAATACAAAGTCTTCAAAGTAATTTAAAGAGAGAAAAATCATTAACAACTGAGGAGATTATGTAAGGCTGCAGGTAGGAAATAGCACCTGAACTGAAGGAAGCCAGAGATTCTTCAAGGAACAGGTGAGGAAGAAAAGCCTTCCAAATATGGTGGAAAACCTATGAAAAGTCCTATGAAGAGACCTAGGAAAATAAGAATTGCCACCTCTTCAAACAATGAGAATTCAGTAATTACTAACAATAACTGGGGCAGCTAGGTGGTGCAGTGGATAGAGCATCGGCCCTGAAGTCAGGAGGACCTGAGTTCAAATCTGGCCTCAGACCGAATACTTGACACTTACCAGCTGTGTGACCCTGGGCAAGTCTCTTAACCCCAATCGCCTTAAAAAAAATAACTAGGAGGTGGTGCTCTTTAGCCTGACTGAGCATAATGCTTCTGAGAGGTCCCAACAACACGTTTGTGTTAACTTTCAGTATACATTTAAAGATCTTAGTTTTGAGATCTCATATTCTCAAGAAGAAATGAGCTTATCATGAAGAGAGAGTGAAGGATGACAAGTGGACAACCATAGTACTTTCTGGTACCCAGAAATTGAGGAAAGTCAGAAGCAGTTTAGGTGGTTCTCCTGTGATGAATTTATGGGAGGAAGTGGATAAAGAGTTGCCAGGAATGGGTGGGTTGCAGTCTGAATCCGATGAGAGTGAGGTTCAAGCATTGCCTGCCATTCTCCTCA